CCGAGAAAGACCGGGAAGCCCTCCCTGAGTATATCGGCGTACAGCGCAATATGCAGAGCTCAACAAGCTACATGTGAGTATCAAAAGCTGAGTACAGTGAAACAAACGCGCCTCATTTTCCTGTTCCTAAAAGAGCCCCTGATATGGTAGCCTTGGGTAGTACGGAAAGGCAGTCAAAATCTTAGAGCCATTCTGGGCAACCTAAATTGCAAAGGACTAAGGGTAAGATCTGTACCTACAATACAAGTACCCATGCATCCGAGTCCTCATTGGAAGACTTCGTCGCGCGGGCCAGGAGGATAACGTACAACGTCGTCGGACTGGTTGAGACGAAAAGAGGTCACCCATTCAACGCCGTCCGTGACATCGGAGAAGAATTTCTTTGGAACACGCGACAGTAGAGTAATCAGCGGTCTTATTAACACGAGTTTGACCATAAACGTAGATTCATTGGACCAGCTAACAACCCGTGTCGAAAGTTTGCGGTTGAAGAGATGTGAATCACCACCGATTTTAATACTGTTGTCTGGACACCGGCAACCAAGCTATAACAAATGAGAAATAAAGGCGGTCTGTATGAACTTGGAGAAGCTTTGCAAAAAACAGCATACGTTATTTGAGGTAATCACCAGAGATTTCAACACTATGAACAAATCCAGAGGGAAGTCTGAAGAACACCACATTGGGACTCACGGATTAGAGCAGAACGAACAGTGTGAGACCTTCTCTGAGTTCAACATGACAACCAAGACAATTCACGATAAAATGCAATTCTAGAAGCCCCAATCTCGATGCTAGACGTGCAAGTCTTCCGTTGGAGAGTGCCGTAGCAAAATAAATCACCTCACGGCTAATTGAAGCTTTTAACAAAATAATGTTTCTGTACTTCAAAAAATGTACAAAAGATGAAACAGTGGTACCATTTGTGCAAGATTTCACTTTCAACGGAGAAGAGAAAAAGCCGTTGAATTCAAAAATGTTGGGAAGACACTGTTCCTGGTAACATCGATGAGGAAAGCAGTCGGCTCAATGTTAGCCTTTTATTAGTTGCTTACTGTAAATTTTCACGACAAGGTATGATGCGAAATACAACCACAACGATGCTGAGATATTCGCAAAAGTTGGACTTTGGACCAGATCGAACCACGATTACCCTATCAAGGAGCTCTCTTATTACAGACTGCACCACGGAGGCCCATGCTTTGTTGTTCTTTCACCCAGTTTTTTGCCTAGTGCTGTTATCAGCATTCACCTGTCAACGGGATTGATCTAAAGAGCACGAATCGGTAGTGAACCCAGCTGAACTGCAGGTGCAGTCGAAATCACAATGTTAACTTTTTATTTGCTACTTAATGTAATTTTCATGGTTGAGTATGTGAAATATTCGCAAAACTTAGACCCCGATCGCCTGGTTCAACATCTTGATGTCAGCGTTATGAAAGCTAAGAGTTCGCAAGTCACCGGTAGACGTCTGTCTCCAAAAAACACTGGAGCTGATAGGTCAGTGTGTATTCGTACGAACTACAGGCAACCGCTAATAGTAACAGTTTCCCTTCCGTTTACAAACACATTTTCTACAAACATTTTTACTCGAGTCTTCCTAAAGAGGATTGACAGACGAAAAGGAGTAATGTGAGAGACCACGGTTCAGAAAAGGATTCAGCACGCTAGACCACTTCCACACGATAACAAAACTCGCTGAACTATGTTGAGAGCAAAGGCGACTGCTCTGTCCCACTTCCACCGATTTTAAGAAAGCTTTAGAATTGGCTGAAATAGAAGTAGTCACAGAAGAATTAGATAGCAAGGGAGTCTCTACTAAATATTTTATAAAGATTCCCCGTAAGATGAAAATTTCATAACCAAGATATCACTATTCTACAACGATGTTAACATCGACGTCAACAGAGGAGTTAACCAAGGCGATACCTTCTCGCCAAAATTATTCATCGCCACCGTCGAGAACGTAATACATAGTAAATACCATAACACATACCACTCATAACTACGGAGCGTCCGAGCAAAGTTTTTTCTACCAATCATTCATGTTCACACCCCACTTTCTATTCAAAAAACCAGCAAGTTCATAACGGATGAATATCAGGCGTCATCCATTTCGTGAAAGAAAGATTATTCGTCGTCGAGTGATTGTTGAATGTTCGCTAAAGAAAGGAATGGTTGTGGATGTCATTCAAATTATCCAAATATTAAGTGCCATTGTTATCTCTTACACTGATTGCCATTTCTTTCCATTGTGACTATGATGTATTCTTGGTCGGGATATGATACAGAGAGTGCATTCTCTCGCAAGATCAACAAAGTTAAGTATAGGTTCGAAATTTCCATCTATACTACAAGCGAAGAACATTGAAAATATTCAATTTCGAGGAGGAAAATCCTTCCAGATCTTCGAGCGTCAGAAAATGGTGTAGAAGGGATTTAAGAATCCTCCGGAAATCCTTACCTTGGCACTTCATGAAAAACCAATGTTGTGCAACCAGAGGAATAATAACAAAATAGGGGTGATGATACGACCCACGCGACAGTTCATACAATTTAAATGCTAGTAATCTTGGCTTTCACCTAATATTATTGCTTTATGAAAGGCCTACATGCAATTTTAAGAGTAAAATAATTAGGACAGAAAAAACTTTTGTGATATTCATTACAAACGCATAAAAGAGATATAATAGCAAACCTTAGATTATATTCCATTGACGCTGTTATTAACGCTCGTAGAACACACCTAAATTACAACGGAGCCACCTATAAGACCTAGATCAATATTAAGATAGGAAATGGATCGAAGTGAATGCGTCGTTTTCTTGTACAGCAATCGCGAGGTTTTTAAACGGCATATGGTAATTACATGAGTTTTTCTAGAGTTTTTCGTCTTTTTGTAAGTGGTATTGAAGCGTTTGGCCTAGTAGATTGTATATCAGTTTACCCTCCAGGCTCTGAAAAAGGCGATACTGCCGAAACGTCAGCTAGCGTTGTATTGTATTGTGTTTCTCTATGGAAGTAAATGTATGCTGTTTAAAAACCTCGCAATTGCTGAACAAGAAAACAACGCATTCATATTCGAATGCCGAGGTTAATAGAAAGTCGATCCTAGGATCGAAGTGATTTGCTCTGATGATTGTGATTTATCGATTCATTGTGACTGAAGGGTGTTCCTATTTGCCATTGTAAAATGTCTAGAGGCGAGTTTAAACGATTTCCTAAGCTGGAAAGGAGTTTAGTATTTTCAACAGAAAACCGAATTAGGATAAATCTGTGGAGTGACTTCGTTGAGAGTGCACAATTAAATGAGGAGCTCGTATTTCCAATAGGAACGAACAAAGTTTCAAATGGTGCCAATCGAATTCGAGGATTAAGGCCATTTCGGGTAATATAGCTGAGAGCACGAAGGTTATAACTTATTTCTCCGAATAAGAAAAAATTTTGAGAAAACATTGAAACCGATTGCTTCTAACGTGTTTCGTAATTTCAAGAAGCGTATTATATCCACGTAGATGAGAACTGACAGACGCTGGTCTACTTTACTAATAGTCAAAACTGAAGATCACCTACGCACTTGTGAAAATAACCACACCCGAGAATGTCATTTAGGCGTCTGCCTCGACTCAGATATGACGGTGGGATTCGCTTGGTAATGGCTTGTGGTCGTAGTTACGCTTATGCTGCATTAAGTATCATTGGAGGTAATTGAAAGCATATCTGGCTTTTACAATTGCTTGCGGTGGCCTACCGATGTATCGAGCCAGTGCTGCTATCCTCTAAGACAAGTCTGGTACCACCCCGGTGGGATGGAGGGGTTGGTGAACCTGCGGCAGAGGGATTGACCCTCTGTGTATTGTAATGCGCCTCCGAGCAGAGACAGAGAAGGCACACAAAGAGGTGCGACCTAGTTGTGCATATGCAAACTGTATCCAATAAGCCCGTTCCATCAAAGAGCTACAGTCGACTAATTGCGAAGCATCTAGGATGCGGTTCGAATTGGTCACCAACAAATAAGCCTTTAGCAGAGTTCTGCAAGCAGCCTGTAGGTATACACAGCCTTGTTACACGATTCGACAAAAAACTCTTTGATAGGGTGTTAATCAGACTAGAGTGCCTAGACGAAATACGATACTCACTTTGTATTTTCACGCGTAGAGTACTTCAACGTCTGTGAGCGGCCGCAGGGATAAACGAAAACTATCAGAGCGCTCCTAACTCCTTTACCAGCCAACGATTTCATTTTGCGCCACTTGTACTCGTTAACCGTTACGAATGAATTTGTTAACACTAAGACACTGATGCTGTATAACAACTTTGCAATTGCTGAACAAGAAAACGACGCATTCATAAGACACTGATCTTAGAATGAGGCAAATATGCCCTGTGCGCTCCAGAAAATGGTCGAAAGAAAATGTTCAGGTTATATACAAATATGCATATGTACATATATACACACACATATATACGTACATGCATGTACATGTACACTTATATAAATATATAATTGTACACGTTTGCGTGCAGATATATACGGCTGTATATAAGCCCTATTATCCCAACAGCTTACCGCCTCATCGTGGCCGGGAGGTGTTCCTGGGTATTGAGCTGCGATTTGCAGCAGAGTGATTTCCCGGCAGTGCTCAAGCTGAGAACGCGTCCGGCGTTTCCATCAGAAAGCCCAACTAAGAGTAAGCCAGTACCAAGATCCAGCAACGTTCTGGCATCAATTTATCCGCATGGTGGCAAATCTTCCTCTGTTCCACACGGAGATGAGTACCTGTGGTGGTTACTACATGTGTCAAACTTTGTCGAGGTTAACCTCGGAACACCAGGAAGCCACAATGGCCAGACCAGCAAAACTCCGAAAAAATGGAAATCATGCTGAGGCTCGCACAATCAGTGAAGGTGGACCATCGTAGTTTCCAAGTAATATAAGCTCTATTTAAATTTTCCATGCAACACAGCCGCTTTGAGAATGCTTGTTGCAAGCATACGAATAGATTCTGGCCAGTCGTCGGCAGATTGAGTAACAAACACTCATTAGTTATATTGAAAAACAGCTCTGAAGCTGCATGTGGATACAAACATGCGGTCCCACCGCGATAATCTTTCCACGGTAGCGATTATGCTGCCATAATGGCACTGTGAGGGCCGTGGTGAGTTGTGAAGCTCTGCTTCCTAATTATCTAGCTGGGCTTTTTCTAATTCGCATTGGTTTCTTCGCATTCTTTGCAAGGTATGCTTTTCTGAGTGCTTGCAACTAACTCTCCATAGTTAATGAGCACTCTCCATTCGTCATATGGTTTGTATGTGCGTAATACTCAATTCACCTAGTTTAAAGGTTTTTGCGAAACATGACCGACAAAGCGGTGACTCCCGTACTGTTTCACTGAAACGGCGGACATGAGTTTAGTCACCGTTCCTTAGGTAAAGGGTACTTTATTCGTCATATGGTTTCTACGTGTATAATACTCAACTGAACTAGTCTATAGGAACCTGCGCACCATGAGCAACAAGGAGGTGACGTCGGTATGATTTCACGAAATCACCAGCGATGAGCTAAACATGCTCTTTTGTGCACATGGTAAGGCCACTTTTCAGAACTGGTGTTTCGATAAAGACCATGCACCTCTTTCTTCTGATGTGGTGAGTCCTGACTACAATGCTCCACGTAACGGTTTAAACTAGTATCTATTGGTTTCTGCTTCACCTGCTTTCCGTTGCTTTTCTCTCTATCTGGTTGTGCTGTGTAAGTTTCAGTCTGATTTTAGACAGCTAGAGCCAGCTTCGCGTATTCTGGCAACAGAAGGAAAGCTACAGCTGCGAAGTGTGTATTCTTTTTTAAAGACATGACATTTGAAAAGAATGACAGTCTTTAGTGAGTGGTGCCTTACGAGTTAATATAATGTTGTATATGTTGCAGTGTTCTTTCTCTTTAGGAAAAAGTATCACTCGCAAGCTGTGCAGTTTTATTGAGGTTGACGAGTTTGGCGACAACGACTGCACTGCGCATGGTTTCCTCTTGCTGTCGCCAGGACACATAGCTGGAGCGCGAGTAGGTTTTTCCATATTCCGGTACTTTTCATCATTCTTAAATATCATATTGCTTTCAGAAAGAGTTCGTACTTAAGACGGCTGAAGGCTTCCGAAAGACTCATGGAGAAATGGAGCAAATGTACGCGAAAGCCGTGCGTTCCACTAAGTAGTTTTCCCTTGTTGCATTTAATATTCATTGTACTTGCAATTCTGTTTCAAATATTTCGTGTCATTTTATGGATATATTTCCACTGTTTTTTCGCTTCTTCCTAAACCGCTTCTGTGGTGCAGTGTGTAATACGCGAGCCCCATAAAGGGTAATCGTAGTTCGATCTGGCCCAATGTCCAAGTTTTGCGAATATCTCAGCATCGTTGTGATTGTATCTCACATCATACCCTGCCGTGAAAAATTATAGTACGCGGAAAATAAAAGGTTAACATCGTTATTTCTTCACTGTTTGAGTCATTTGTGATTCACATATGGCCTGTTTATTAGCATCTAAGTGCTAATGCAATAAACTGTGCACTGTAATTTTTCGAACGTCTCTTCAGCGGTTGCTTATTCGTGGACAGTTTCTCTATTCGATAACTTCGCCAAGGTTTAAGGCGTCATCAGAAAAGTCATGTAACACGAAAGACCGACTTTCTATAAACCTCGGCATAGATAGTTGATATATTTATTTATATGGTCTCATAAACTGATCCTCCTTAGCTGATGAGAGGTTGGTATAGGTCTTCGTTGTCGTTGTCGTGGAGTGGAGTCCCTCTCGCAACATCACGGCTTTGAGGAAGGCGAAATCGCCGAAACGTCAGCCATCGGCCAACAACACCACCAACAACGACAACGACAACGGTGACCTATTACCAACCAAGCATCAGCTAAAAAAGATCAGTAAGAACATATAAATAAATAAGTCATGTAACAAGTGATTTTGCCGTTTTGAAAGGAAAAATTCCACGGCCATCCTCTTGCAAGGAGTAGATTTTGGAAAATGCGTAGGAACTTTATATAATGCTAAATGCTGAGCATCGCCTGATGCCACACAAAGTCCAATTTTCACCATAGGTCAAAACGTGATCAAGAAGTTGACGGTTCAGGTTTCTGAAGCATACGTTAGGACACGAAGTGCCGTTGAGTCGAAATGGTGGGCACGGAGTCGGGTGTTCTTTCTTTTCTTCACTACATCCTCGATGCTCTTGAAAGCTTCCCAAGCCGCTCGTTTCCTTTTGCTCAGCGCTGGACCTAGGTCGTTCATTATATTCATGATTTCTCGACTTAGATAGATATAACTGGAGCATTCGGAGATATTCGTTCCGTTGAGCGTGAATAGGGATGCGAAACCAATCCGTTCTTCATGAACATCGTTTTTGTGAGATTTAGTCGAAGACCAATCTTTCCACAGGCTTTATCAATGCCGTCAAACATACCTTCTGCTTGGCTAATGTTTAGTGTTATAAGTACGATGTCATCAGTAAAGCGAAGATGGTGCAACTGTCGACCATCGCTTTTCACTTCGATATTATCCTATTCCAATGCTCGCATAACGTTCTGGAGGGTGGAGGTAAATAATTTTGGCAAGATAGTTTCGCCTTGCCTAGCTCCTCTTTTGACGTTAATGTTAATATCGTTATAGAATGGTGATACATTCGTTGTAAAATTTTTGTACATGTTTAAAACATGTGCCGTTTTAGAAAAGATTCTGGTTTCTGTCTATTCTAGATCCAGTTAACAAGGTTCGGTATCAAAATAGACAAATTTTGTTTAAAGTTGGCAGGTCCCAGAACGATGAAACAATAAATAACTAAGAGAAGGAGGGAATAGCAATATGACCTGCTTCTTTTTTGCCGATTGCTAAAAGGTAACTTCGGAATTAGCCTTTTAATGCGAAATCTTTTTGTGGAAGTTAACAGCACTTTCTCTGCAAACTTATGTCTGATTTTGTGGATCTCCGTAGTTCTTTCGAATATCGTCTAACGCGCCCGTAACCTCGAATTATTCGTTTCGTAGGAGGAACCTTAAAAAATCTGCTAACGTGAGCAAAAGGCAAAAATAAGCGTTCTCCGAGTGAAACGAAAGAATAACGTCTATAGTGTCCGAAACCTCGAAATGAACGTTTTCCGAGCGATTCTCTCCAATATCGTCTAACGCGCCCGTAACCTCTAAATAATCGTTTTCAGGCCGAAATGCAGTGACACTTGACCAAAAAGGGGGAAGAGTTGCAGTGCCAGCTCAAGTTGCTAAAATCCGGAAAGGAAATTGCGAGGTTACAACTTTCATTTATTTACTGCATTTTCTTTCTTCGTGGGAGAGCAAACCGTAAAATACAACTGTGAGAATGTTGAGATATGTGCAAAACTCGGAACCTGCGGTGGATTTCGAATCCATAGTTATCTCTAACGGTAACTGTTAAAAATAATTGAGGTATCACGAGTTTATGGGCGTTAACATCTCAGAATTGACGAAGAACTCTCATTGTGACAAACGTCATCGTGGAAACGTTGGCAGATAAAGGCATCTCCTTTGACTGCGTAAAGGCCCTCCATGTTGCAGTTGCACATCAGTTTTACAACCATAATGAATAATGCATCGCAATAGTTAAATTTAGCAATTAGGTAGCTATACATTTTTTTTCGCCATTGCATCACCTCTATAGCAACCAAATTGATTCCTACGAAAAAGGTATTCAAAGAAACAAACCCAGAGTCGACTTTTTAATAACCTCGGCAATGGTCAGCAATCCAATACTTTCAAGGTGAGTATAGAAGAAGTTGCTGTTGCAGCATTTAATCATTCACAATAGCTGACGATTCTGTGCTCTAACGAAAAAAGAAGAGTCTCGTGTCAGATATTGTCGTTCTATTCCATTATCATTGCAGATGACAGTACGAATGAAAATATCCATCCAAGATACATGGCAGAGTACTTGGAATGCGAAGACAGCGCACTGATCACTTACTGAGTAACAGATCCATTGCTGATCAGCGTCATCCTCCACATACCGATGGATTATCCGCAATGAAGTCGAAAACTGGAGTGTCGGCAAGCCTGTTTAAAAAGTGAGCTCACTAAATATCTCGCCGCCCTTTTGGTTCAGTCAGTATCTGGTGACCACGGTCCATTGAGTGCCTCAGGTGGATACATAGGCCGCAGTGAAATTTTTCCCACAAGTTGGTCTGTTCCAATTACTCTAGATGCATTGGCACCTTCAAATTTGACCGCTACAGAGGTGTGTGCCTCCCGAATTGTACGCTGGCCTTCACTAAATTTATTGGAACAGATACACTATTTTGGGTAGTGCTGAGACCTCTGATCATTTTGTTTCATTCAACGGACTCAAAGCAGAGTGCCCTAAAAAATAAAATCCCGTCTCTATCACTACTCCATAAAATTGTGTATTCGAAAATGCAAATTAAAGGAAAAAATACGAGAATATGCTGCATACAGGTACACTGCGGTCACAATTCACTTCTTTGTGCTGTCGTGTTGATTTTGTTAATACAAGTATTACCTTCGTTGAGAATTTTGTAGCATTATAGTCGCCGTAAATCTTGTGCTAAATCAGATGAGTTTTCTGTGGGCAAAGTGATCGAGTCTGAATTGTCACCTCGTAAAAGACGATTGAAGAGCCCACTATATACGTCCGTTGCCCATTTTTTAATTTCTTGAAAGATCGTTAATTTCCTACAAAAAGCTTTTAATGGTTTTTGGAACACAAGTGTGGAGTTAAAAGGAAGATATCCAAACGTTTCTACAATATCCCATGTGTGCATGAATCGCGGAGTCTCCCTGGTCTTCCTGTAAACTCGATAATGTGTACCACTTGCAAGAGGAAAAATCACGGCGGATTCTTAAAGCAGCCACCCCTTTTATGCTTGTTTAGTCGAAATGTTAAAAGCAGTTTAAACATATATTTATCCTGAACGACTGTTAAGCATCTACAAATCCTTCTAGTCCTTTAATAATCGTGCTGCACTAATTTTAGTAAAAGGACAATAGAATTAATATGACCTTAAAGATGCTGAAATATTTCCAAAGCTCCGGACCGCAAAAGGTACTGACTGGAGGTAGGTTCCTAAGGTGTTCGAATCGTATTCTGTCCGACTTAACATTGATCTGGATTGCTAGATTCACCTAGATTTGCTTTGCTAGATTTTTCCCCGATGAAACAACACGTTGGATTTTGCGATGGAGAACTGTGGTATGATCGGATTATAAGATGGAGAACCTTCGGCACGACACATCGGTTTTAATCAAAACCATTAAGAACATGGCGAAATAATTGAAGATGTCTGAATAGCAATCGTGAACGATTTTTCCATGACCTTTCTGGAAGTTGCAGCACCTTCGCGTGGGTAAAGGCGTGCGATAATCTTGGCCTTGCAAAGGTCGAAGCTTCGCTGGGCTACGGTGTGCTTTCAACAACCGACTAATGAGCGGACCTTCTTGAATTGTTAGTCAGCATGTATGGTCTTGATCGTTATGATAAACCCAGACACTCGCCTAGACTGATCTTTCGGTTCTAAATCACTGGCCGCACTGTGGCTTTCCAGAGATGTTCCTCTGGGTCCAGTCTTGGCATTGAAATCTCCACTGTTGACCACTTCCGTGGAAACTTTTCCATCAACGATTTTTACAACGGAGTTCAAATTTGGGATGAAAATGTATTTTAACACTTAAACTGACAATCGATAAAAGATTTCCATCACAGCGACTTTCATCCTAGGTATGAACCAGCCGGATTGAGTCATATGCAGATCCCACTATGCTAGGACAAAGATTTCAGGCCTCGCATTCGTCCACAACGCTGCCGCATAGCAACCAAAATACTGCCTTTACTTACATACTTGGATACTTGGACGACCCGTCTTCACGAGTTGTGCGTACCCCAGCACATATGCCATTCCTTCCTTTCTCTCTCAGTCGTAGCCCATGTTGGCGGTCTTGTTCGAGCATGGTAGCGCGTGCTAGTCTCATACCGTGATCTGTAAACAACTGCAGCCGGATGTACAGCTGATTAACTCTGTTTACGAACACGTCCGCCCAACGTGTAGGTGGTCGTCCAAGGGACGTTTGCATTTTATTGGTGTCCACTCAACTGTTCTCTCCGTCCATCTGCCGCCTTTTCTTCTCATAATGTGGCCGGCCCGTCTATATTCCACTGTCGATGTA